GACACAGGTTTTATTTCCATCTGTATGCATTATTTTACTTTGTAATGTACTTTGTTTAATCAATTACATTTTCAATGGTTTCACAAATGTTTTATTTTAACTTTTCTATGTTAAAGGTTTTTTATGCAATTTCTAGAATATCATATCACTATGTCCTTTTCTAACTGGAACAGGGATTATGTAAGGTTTTTGATTTTGTCTAGTCTTTTAAAGGAGGTAGGTACTCTGTATTTGATTTATATAAATATACATATATATATGTGTGATTTTACACCATTAAGTTTGTGTGATTTGTTTTAGCTCAAAGCCACACAATGGGCTTTCTGAACTCTGTCTACTGTTGGGAATAAAACCCTAGATTTTAGCATTGGACATCCATAAACTTGCTGGTGACCCACTGACGGACTTTTCATCATTAATAATTAATTTCCTGTCTATGTAACTGTGCACTTGGGTATGTATTTTTAGGTTAAATGGTTATTTTATGTATATCATAGTTAAAGTTTCTTCTTGTATTCTATCAGGTATTATTATTATGTAATTTAAAACTAAAGTCAAAGGATTTTTCGTATATTTCACTTTGTGTTTTATGGCGATTTTCCAATGAATAGTAAAATTAAATGTTTTTCTTTTAATTGTTTCGTTTTATCATGTTATGTTTTACATTAATTTGACCCTTAAAGTTGAAAGGTTCTTCTTTCATTGACTTGTGTTGCATTTTATTTTTAAAACATATTTAGAAGGTTATTTTTAATGTACCCGTTCAGTCAATATGTCTTCTTCACTTTGTTTCTTTAGAAGCATCATTTGATTATGTGAATTGTTCCCCTAAACTCCAGTTACTCTAATTTTTAACCGATCTTTCTTGATATTGTCGTGCCATCCATTTACTTTTTCCTTATCTTGCTGAGAAACGTTTTCTTTCTTGCACTGTTTCTGAACCATTTGTAGTTTTATTCAGAATTTTAGCTTAGAACTTATTTCATAGATGGTGTTAGAAACGTTCAATTGAAATTAAAATCTGTGATGGCTTGATGCTTTAAACATGCCATCTTTTAATTTGAATGTTAACCAACATATCAAATCCCGGATATAATGGTATTGAAAGGTCTTGCTGTAAATATGATCACAAAACTTCCACGTGAAAGTCGAGTACCTTAACCACTGAGCCATTTTAACATCCTGTGTTTGAAATACAATATTAACAAATATTAACTTAAAATATAATGGTATTCGTGTTTTTACGAATATTGAAGGCGCTTGCTCTAAACATGATCACCCATTTTTAAAAAATGATAAAAATCGTGACTGTACTGGTGTTTGAATACAAGACTTCCACTTGTAGTGTGGACACTAACTACTGAGGCAATTTGAGTGTTACCCAGCATTATCAATAAATAGTGGCTTATATAGAGAGAGATTTTGAATTTTTGATGTTAGTTGAAGGGTTTTAGTTTGCATTGTACTTAAAAGTAGTTGTGTTAAAAGGTTATATTATCCATGTAGCATGCAGTTGTTTGTAGAAACAAAAGAAAGTTAACGTACTCCTTGGTCATGATTTGAGTTTTAATAATTATATCTAATTGTCTGCTCAAGGTCAAACTTGAAAAACAAATGAGGGGAGAAATGTGACATGTAAGCAAAACATATGCTTTCTACCATCTTTATTAATAAAGAAGATTATAAAATTTTTCGTTTAGTCTCTTACAGTTTTGGCAGAAACACGTAGCTCATGAAACCGTTAAAACAGTTTCATTCTAGTTGCCTTTCTTATTCTCACAAAATTATTTTGATATTAACTGTGTTTATAGGTGTAAAATTCTTGAATACATATAGAGAGATAGAGACAGAGCTGGAACAACCAAAAGGAGTCGAGGCTTTTGAGGCTCACAGCTAATGGAGTCATTTAGAATCTAGGTTTAAATCAACCAATGAAAACCATGTTAAGAAACATTTGTAACAAGAGGTACATGCAAGCCTCACCAGGTCACAGTGATGAAGGGCTGGCACAAATTACATGCCTCTGTGATTAGCGAATATTATTAAGGACATAAACAAAAGTGAATTTCATTAAATGATATACGACGACTCCTCTTGACTTGGAAGTTATTTCAGAGTTTTATAGTTTAAACAATAGTCAGGTCTTGTCTGGCACAACGACGTTACTGGTTACCAACGTGCTTACAGTTATAAAAGACCGATGACTCAAACTCACGCGTAAATATATCGAGACACCTAAAGTAAGCACCTGTTTAAATGTTCTATACTTTTGTGGTTGGGGTTAAAATATCAAGGCTTCCTCGTTAATATTAACTGCGAGACAACACTGATCAGCAGTTACTTATATATAAATATATATATATATATATATATATACACATATATGTAGGACACTCTTTATTATTATTATCTAACTGACCCCTTCATTTGAAGTACCTTCCACCGTTACAAAAAGGTCATTATTATAAAGTAATAACTAATGTTAAAATAGTTCTTTAACAAAAAAAAAAAAGAGTATAAAATTAGCATAAGCCGTGGTTGAAATTAAACACACAAAAGGATTTCCAAGTTTTCAATGAATTCATCGTGCAAAGCAGGCAGGAGCAAAACCTTTAACTCCTAAATCGGCTACTTTAAAAACAGCTCCCGCGAGTGGTTGCTGTTTATGTTGTTCGTCAGTCAAGCCCTTGATGGCGGAAGTGACGTAAAGCTCGTTGTAATTAGGTCCACCAAAACAACAGGAAGTAATCTTGGAGACGGGAAATTCAATTTTTTGGAGTAAATCCCCTAAACAAAATCAAGCCAACAAAAACATTCATAATAAATGACAATTCATTTCACGTGCATGTTAAGAATTAAAACTCAAACCACTATAAATAGTTTTTGTTTACTTGTTTGTTGTAAAACACAAAAATACATAATGGGCTATCTGTGCTCTGCCCACCGCGGGTATCGAAACCAATTTTTTTGCAGCATAAGTCCACTGAGCCACAAGGGACCAAGTCTTTTCGAGAACCATGTAGAGGACGATATTAAATTTTATGAACCCACTTATCATTACCTTATCCGTTAATTGAACAATTTGATTAGTTAACAGATTAAAATTTTTATTTTTCCAATACTTTTTAAAGCAGGAAATATGTTTCTAGGGTCTATTGTTAAACTTAAAAATATATAATTATCTAAAACTTCGGTTAACTAGGCAATCTGGAAAATGTAAAAGACTCAACAATACAAATAACTTGGAGTTTTTATATCTTACATTATTAAATAAAAGGTTGAGAGTTTTAAATTGTAGAATTGTAGGGTGGTTTAAGTCTACGTTAAGGTTATATCTAAATATTGAGAGTAACTGTTTTCCCAGATCTGATTACAGACAGCGAAAGGCAGTAGGAGTTGAGACGTTGCAAGTTCAAGCACTCAAACTCCCAACCCTTAATCGATTCTCCTCAGTTACTGGCGAGTTTTACATCTGGTATCTTGGGCGATAAATGGAATATCCTCAACAATTTCGGGTGCTATGACCACAGACATTATCCATTAGTACTTGAGGATGACAACAAGGAATGATAATGGAAGAATTATGTTTAATTTTTTTCTCATTATAATGTTAATATATCTATCTATCTATATATATATATATACACACACACACACAGAAAATATATATTATAATCTGAAGTTGTTAATTAAGCACTGACCTCTGGCGGGGTCAATACGAACTACACAACTACCGTTGTAACAGGCAACCCATAACTTTCCTTCAATGTCAATGGTCATTCCGTCAGGAATTCCACAATCTTGGTATCCTCGCGAGACGGTGAAATCCACCAGGGTTCGCTGATTACCTGAATAAGAAAAAACACACATGGCAATATGTTCAATCGCCCTTTACATTTTAATGAATCTTTTTTGAGATTTATATTATATATTCATTCATGACCTAAGATTTTTACGCTTACTGTAAAAATAACAACTATCAGAAATGTAGATATATATAATGAAAAAATATAGCTATATCAAAGCAAGCGTGCTACGAAGTTTAAACAGTATGGAATGTGTTTTTCAAGGACAGAGGGCGATCCACTTCAAATACATGGGGTAAGGACCCCTTGGCTAAAATTAACTTAAAAGTTCCGTTTCCGGTCAGTAAATTACCCCCCCCCCCCATTATAAAACGTAAGCCTAATATACTGAGTTTAAAACTTGTATACCTCCATAAATTTGTTTGTTTATTGTTTATTTGTAACTAAGCACAAAGATACACGATGGGCTATCTGTGCTCTGCCCACCACGGGTATCAAAACCCGGATTCTACCGTTGTAAGTCCGTAGACATATCACTGTGCCACTGGGGGGCAAGTTTGTTTGTAATTAAGCACAAAGCTACACAATAGGCTAACTGTGCTCTGCCCACCACGAGTATCGAAACCCGGATTCTAGCGTTGTAAGTTCGCAAACATACCGCTGTGCCACTGGGGGGCGCACCTCCATAAGAGAACGCATCCTCTACTCCCGATAAACAAAACACATTACTACTGCTATATTAATTCCCCTGATCTTCTGAAATTTAGTTTTACCTGTTAAGTTAGTTACAATAATTTATGCAATGAATAAGTTAATAATTACGAATAACTTGAAACATAAGCAAGTTTATAAGTTGAATTAAAACATTATATAGGCTTGAATCAAATACTAACTACGTTGATATGTTAGTGTTAGTTACTATTGTGTAGTTTAGGACAATGTTTTCACTATTTTTCCTAAGTTATTTAAACACTGAATATCATTTCATAATGTAATAGTTTATTAATGTCTTTCTCCTGTCAACATTGTGTTACTTTAACTTCTTTTGGAAACCACAAATTTTTATATTTTTTCTTTTATTATAAAACTTTGTTAACAGAAAAACGAAAACTACTTTAAAAAAGCCTAACGACGGAAATCTCAAACGCTCATGAAGAGTTCGAGTAGAAAAATTTTTGGCTTGTTCTCTGTCAGATTTTCAGCTTGCATCATTTGGATTCAATATTAAATTAAACTGACATATTGAGATATAAAACCATAGTTATAAATAACACTAGATTGGAAGTCACTTGACTTTCGGTATCTGCAAGCGGCCGCCATTGCTATGTGTTGAACTTTCAAAGCCCGCCAATCGAATAGACAATAGCAAGGCGATCTCACCTCACAATTTAGGCTGTTTTCCATCTAAACTAGACGTTTGGATAATTTGATTTGATTTTAATAAATTTATCAAGCCAAGATTATCTAAACCTGACCTTAACTGTGACATTAGTGCCAAAAATCGTTCACAAAACACACATATCTGACCTGTCATATGAAGAATGAATTGGATTTTAGACCAGAGTGAAATCTTATGATTAAAATCTCTTCTTTTTCCTTAGTGTTTATTATGTCACAGAAAAATGTACATCTCAAATAGTGTTGCCAATGAACAAGAGGTGGCGCATAATGTCCTTTTTTTTTAGGGGGTGGGGAAGAATGTTATGTATGAAACTGCACATTCTTAAAGTTGATGGAAGTAATTAAGAAAATTTATGACACAAATATAATAAAAATCACTCGGATTTATTTGATATCTTGTGGCAAAATTTGATACAGTTCCTTGAAAAAAAGTATATATGTATATGTATATATATAAATATACAATATGTGTGTGTGTGTGTGTGTGTGTGTGTGTGTGTGTGTGAGATGCATTGCATATACTGTACTAGATCTGATACTGTAAATTTATTATCTTGGTGAAACCCAGTTTAAGATATTTCACTAATATTATTATTCTGTAATGAGAACAAAATATTTTGGATGAACAGTGTCTCTCCAGATCACCTTGCCATTAAGACCAAATACCATTCCCCATTGTGGGATTCACCTTTGAATGTCGACATAACAAAGTCAGGTTAATTATGCAAAACATTTTACATGAAGATCATACATTACCGGTGTAGTACAAGACGTGGAGATTAAATCGTGAAAATAGTGTTTACATTTGATCTAATATATTGAACTTATACTGACTTCAGAAAAATATGAGAAGTTATGAAATTACAATTATATAAATTTTCATGTGCAAATATAGTTGTAAGTTTTAAATAGGTCAAATTTATGGGTGTATACTTAAATAATTAAAAACAAATGAGACATGTAACTTTTCATTACCAGTTCATTAATGTTTGTTTTGAATTTCGCGCAAAGCTACACGAGGGCTATCTGCGCTAGCCGTCCCTAATTTAGCAGTGTAAGACTAGAGGGAAGGCAGTTAGTCATCACCACCCACCGCCAACTCTTGAGCTACTCTTTTACCAACGAATAGTGGGATTGACCGTCACATTATAACGCCCCCACGGCTGAAAGGGCGAGCATGTTTGGTGTGACGGGGCGACCTTCAGATTGCGAGTCGAGCGCCGTAACTACCTGGCCATGCCGGGCCAGTTCATTAATCTAGCATTGTCTAATCTGCATAACATAATATATGTCCAATATTTGCTGATAGTACCTATGCTTCTTACTGTACCATGTAGATACCTAAACTTTCATTATCAGTACATTTTCCCCATCGTGGACACTTCAATACAGTTCATAACGGTCCTTTTTCAAGTTGTTTAAATTTACAATTGTGCAATAATTTTACTCTACAAGCATTTATAATAACAAATCAAATAATTAAAATATAAATCCAATTTTTCCTCAATACCTAATTTTTCTTTTCAGAAAACGGCTATGTGGGTAATGCATGCCACAGAGTAATTTTACAAATCTTACAAAACATGATTATGTAGAGAAATACCAAGGACATAGGCCTGACTTTTCAAACTGAGTACAGTGCCCTACAGTGGATTAATTTAGAATACTGCAGGAATATATTTATTTATAGCATGATCAACAATTTTTCACCATTAAATTTACAGTTCATAATTATATGCTAGCCAAATTCTGCTATATTCATGTGAGAATCATTTCTGCAGTACTTTGTTTTCTTGTGAACATACTGGTACGATAGCGGGGGTCACTTGACGCTAGTAACACGTCATATTCTCGAAGGTTCGTGAATGCTCGAGTGCTTACTAGATGTACGGTATTCTTGTATATAAGACCGCCAAGAACTGACGGCAACAATGTCGTTGAATTGCTGACAGAGATAAAGACGGACAGTTGGGTCGAGCGCTGAGTCGTTTGTTGTGAATTATAGCGTTGTTTAAGTTATAGCGTGACCGTGGAAATTAAGTGTATTGCAAAGTTGTATTGAGAAAGAATAAACTAGTTTTATTTAAGGAAGGACTTGTATTGCTGAAGTTTTTCGGAAATAAATTATACGGGAAATTAACTAACGACCAGAGACGCAACAATACAAATACACAATCGGCACTGTGTAAAACATTTATATAACTGATATTTCACACGTAAATTACAATTAAATGTAACAATATTAAAAGGTATGTACATATGTATTGTAAGTGTAATAAAACTAGGCTCACTCTGTTATAAGCACTATTTTATGTATATCACAGTTACATTAATGTTGTTTTTTTTTTTTTGCTTGTTTTCGGGCCACTTGTACTGATACTGATGTTTTATCATTATGACACTGACAGCTCAAGGAATTTGGCCTGAAAGGAGCCACCAGCAAAAATGTAATCTGTCATGTAATTCTGAGAATGAATCTATTGGCAGTATTAGGCCTATGTTTGATTTTTTTCCCGGATAAGCCATAACGTCACTGATCAAACTAGACTTGTCTTAAACCATACAAATTACCCCCAATTTCCTCTCTCATCCATTAAACAAAGTGCCATATTTAATACACTTCTACCTCGAAAGTCAGTGATATCATCAAAAGTTAATGTACACAGAACTTGCATCTGTAGACAGTATATGTTTTGGCGGAATCTCTGTATAGCCTGACTGGCCAGCAAGCGACAATAGAATGTCATGGATGATTATTTCAACTTATGCGAGTACTTAATATTTTTAGCATTTCAAATCAAAAGCTGTCAAACTGTCATGCCGACTTATGTCGGTGAAATGCCTTCCAAAAAAAAAAGAACAAAAAAAAAGATTCGCATATACATTTTGAAACTAGTGGTAAACATCCACGCCAGTTTGATGTCGCCAGCATGTCCATGGCGATGTTGCCCGCTGTAACTTAATATATTGTATAGAAAAAAAGGTTTTACTTACTTGTGGAATGTAACACAATCCGCCTTCGACTCTTGGTTACGGTATGTGTAACAGTTAATGGCATATGTTCTCTTTGTTCTTTCGGGTCGTAGCTGAAATGGACGACTGTCATATTCAGCCATTGTACATTTTCTGCCAGTTCGAAATTCAACACAAAGCAATGGCAGTTGCATGCGCATATGCCCTCAATGATAAAGAAAAGTGAGTGGCCAATCTAATGTTATGTGTGTGTGTATAAAAACAATATGTTTTCTAAAATATTATTTCTGGATGTTTCTGATCTTTACTCAAAAGAAGAATTTAATTATTGTACCTATTCCTTTGTAACAATCTGGAACTACTTACTTCTTTACAATCACATGGAATAAAAAGTTTCTCGAAAAAACCACACAGAAATATGCATGCAAATTACCCCGTTTTCAATACCGCATAGAATTAGTTTCTTTAAAACTATTTAAAATTGCTCATTCTGTGGTTCTAAAAAATGAATATTTTACGTTAAAAGTTACGGTTTAAAGTATAACTTTTAAAGTATTGTATTTCGTATATGAATAGCGTATCAGAGAATCTTTTCTCTCTCGTCGTCCAAAAAACTGACGAGTTCTGGTATTAAACGAAAGGCCTCTTGAGCAGTGACTTGTAGGAATAAAAGACTGATCTGAAATGCCTTTTTTTTTTTTACAGGCCACTGATTCTAAACCCAAAATGAGCAAACGTGGGAAAAAATAATCTGCAGTAAAAGTGATTTTATCACAAATTTTAGGCTTATTAACATTTCACATGATTTTAAAAGAGACTGGTAATTCCATGTGACCTAGAGAAGTAGAAAATTCCACATGGTTACAAAAAATGAATAATTTATCCAGAGAAATTAATAATGCTAAATAGTTGTAAAAATAAATATTCTGTTAATGTTTTGCTGATAAAGAATTTATAATACCCGTCTTGCTGATCAGCCATAATTTCTTGTCCCGAGTGTTTGAGACAAATGGTTTTGTCACACGTTATTGTTAATCAATTCTGCACATTTTCAATAGTGTAAAACTTTAACTTTCAGTTTTAGGACCTACACACTTACTCAACACTCCTGTTTCTACATCATAATCAAACACGTAGACTTTCCCAGGAATGGAATCTATAAAGAACATCAGCCGGTTATCAGAAGACCATGCCAGACCGTTAGACAAGTTAACGTTCTCAACTTGCTTGCTAACAGACAAGCTGCTTGGGTCAAGACTGTAAAGACAACCTTGTCCTAGGTCAACTTCAGCGGGGGAAGTCTCAAGGCCCATTGTTCCTGAAAAAACAACAGCAAGAGGTCGACAAGGAAACTTGGGTTATACAATAGATTAAAGCTGGTCATTATTCAGCCACTCACTTAATTCAATTCTAGGAGTATCTTGTAAATTACACAAAGTTTTCTTTAGTTCTTAAAATATTTTCTTTTGAAGTGGTACTATCAAGAGGTCAAAGATTTTCAATTACTCTTAGGAAATTAGATTACGTAGAACATTTCATGAATTTTGAACAGTTATTATTTAAGTTAAAACTCGTACCCAGTTATGATCAAAGTAATGTTACTTTTGATAATAGTTACTGAAATATTTACCTAAAGAAGAAATTTTGGCTATAATTTTATTTGTTTGTTTGAAGTTAAGCACAAAGAGCTTTTTGTGCTCTGGCCACCATGGATATCAAAACCTGGTTTCTAGCGTTATAAGTCCGCAGATATACCACTGTGCCACTGTGAGCATTTTGGCTATAAAACATTCTAGTTCATTGGAGAATTTAATAATTCTTAAATCTGAAAAAGTAATGAAAAAAAAGAGATTTAGCTTGTCCGAATATTACTAAATTCAGGAAAGTGAAGTCTGTTCCAACAGCTTCGAGAAAGAAGTTTAAAATATTTTTTAAAATAAAGAAAGGGTTAACATCTCAAACGATTTATTATGATATAAAACAAGTTGGTTCATATTATGATATATTCTATGGATACCCAAGTTACACAAAATAAATTACCCTATAAGATCGCTCATATCAAGTACTTTTATTCAGCATTTTTAAAATTCTTTAACTGTTTGTAACAAATGAATTTACAGTTAGACATAGTCTTGAGTTTTCTAAATTAGATTTTGATGAACTGGTATACATTATGGTTTACATTGTCATTGTGAGAGTTATTTATCCATAGGGATAAAAAGTCATTTAAATTCACATTTCTTGAATTTTCCTAACATAGGAATTGAAGAAAATTCATCTAGTTTGATTCTATGCAATTTTAGCACAGCGGAGATATTTCGGCAACTTTGCATATTGTGCAGAACAGGTCGACAACAGCAACATCTTTTACTGGCCGAGTATATAATATCTATAGGTTATAGCCTTCACTGTTTTGTAAGAGAACGACCAGTCACAAAAATAACGCTTGTCGTTATGAGTAAATCCGAAGTTTCCTGTCAGTACAGAATATTAGAATCACATCAGTTCTACTTAGCTTAAACTCAGATTTACTCCATAATTTTCCCGATTGATAATTTCATTATACAACGGCCACATGTAGAAAACAGTTTCACCTGAGAATCCCATAAAAGTACAATTAATAAATATTTAGACTTCATATACCTCTAAAATTAACAAATGTTCTACAATGAAACGGATACCTTACTGTGTTGTACAGTATACAGGGGAAGTGCTTAGGAATCAAAAGAAGAAAAAAAGATTAAATTTGGAATTGTTTTTAAATCAAAATTTTGTTTAATTACTTTACATTTGAAAGTAGTGTTCTGAATAAACATTACTCTTATGCCATCTACAAATTCATATGTCCAAAGCGTAACTGTCGTGGGCCAATAATCATTTTAGGCAAATGGTTTTGCTTAAATTGTAATACATGAATAATAACATTGTTTTGCTTAATATTGTTAGGACAGCGGAAATCACGCGACGCTTGGAGCATGCGTGCTGGAGTTTCTAGAAAGATCATGAATTATCGAGGAACTCCGTGAATGTCCTAGTGTTTGCCAGGCGCCCTCTTTTTTTAGTATATAAGCCTGGCGAGAAAAACCAGTGCAAGGGCAGAGATAGATAGATTGAAGAGATAGATAATTGAGTCAAGGGAACAGTAGACACCATAAGTAAAGTGTGTGTGTGTGTGTGTGTGTGTGTGAATCGCTGTGATTATAGCTTGTGTTATAAAGGTTGTCAAGTTTAAAGTGACCGTGGAAATTCTGTGTATTCCAAAGTTGTAGCGAGAAATAATAAACTAATTTTAATTAAGAAAGGACTAGTATCGCTAAAGTTCCTCGAAAATAATTTATACCGTAAATTAACAAACGACCAAATACATAACAAATTGGTGTCAGAGAGTGGGACGGAAAAAAAAGATGGAAACGAGAAGTTGCAAATGAAACCACAGCTTAGCAGGTTGGATGGCAGCAATACAAGAACAGCAAAATAAACAAGAAGAGACACTACACTAGTGTTGGGAGGAGAAAGAAAAGAACCAAGAAGAACTAGAAAAGAAACAAGAAGAGAGATTACAGCAGTTGTTGGAGGAAAAAGAAAAGAAACAAGAAGAGAGACAACAGCAATGGCAAGAAAACCAGCAACAGTGGCAGCTCGAACAGCAAAATAAATAAGAAAGACTACAGCAGTGGTTGGAGGAGAATAAAATTAACAAGAAGAAAGTCTCCAACAGTTGAGAGAAAACCAACATACACAAATGGAAAAGACTAGTAAATTTCAAAGTGAATTAAATACATTAAAGGATGATTTACTGTCTTTTACACAAGGAGGATATATTAGTCATCGAGCTAATCACCCTCAGATAACGGAAAACCCGTTCCAGACCCTGCAGCTAAACCCTAATGCAGACATCTTCAGTCCTGTTAGAAGTCACATCCCAGATATGAGTGTCAGCAATAGGGGTGATCTAGTGTAAAGGAAGCCACAGAAATTCGATGGGAAGGCACCATGGGAAACATATAGAGCACAATTTGAGCTCCTGGCAGAGATAGATGGATGGACAAAGGAGCAGAAAGCAATATATCTGGCAACGAGCTTGAATGGACAACCACTGGAAATACTTGGACAGTTGTCAGGAGATGACAGGCACAACTATAGAGCACTAGAACTCAGGTATGGAACCCAAAATCAGTCCAAAGTCTACAGGGCTAGGTTTAGGACTAGAGTCCATGCTAAAAGGGAGAGCCTGCAAGAGCTGGCACAGGACTTGGAAAGTATGGCACACAAGGCCTACCGAACTGCACCACCCAATGTGCTCAAGCTGT